GCTTCAAGTCCTCTTCACTTTCAGCAAGCAAGGTTGTGTCATCTGCATAACTCAGGTTGTTAATGAATCTTCCTCTAATCCTGATGCCCTCTTCTTCATGTAGTCCAGCTTCTCAGATTATTTCCTGAGCGTACAGACTGAATAGGTATGGTGAAAGAATACAGCCCTGACCCACACCTTTCCTGACTTTAAACCACGAAGTATTCCCTTGTTCTGTCTGAACAGCTGCCTCTTGATCTATGTGCAGATTCCTCATGAGCACAATTAAGTGTTCTGGAATTCCCATTGTTCACAATGTTATCCATAATTTGTTATGATCTACACAGTCGAATGCCTTAGCATAGTCAATAATGCCCTGAATTTTTGGCAGTTCCCTGTTGACATACTGCTGCAGCCACTTTTGAATGATCTTCAGCAAAATTTTACTTGCATGTGATATTAATGACACTGTTCGATAATTTCCTCATTTGGTTGGATCACCTTTCTTGGGAATAGGCATAAATATGGATCTCTGCCAGCCAGGTGGCCAGGTAGCTGTCTTCCAAATTTCTTGGCATAGACGAGTGAGCACTTCCAGCGCTGCATCCTTTTGTTGAAACATCTCAATTGGTATTCTGTCAATTCCCAGAGCCTTGTTTTTCACCAGTGCCTTCAGTGCAGCTTGGACTTCTTCTTTCAGTACCATTGGTTCCTGATTGTATGTTACCTCCTCAAATGGTTGAACATGGATATATATATATATGTTTATATATATATGTTTGTATATATGTGTATATATATGTATATATATGTATATATATGTATATATGTATATATAGTATATATGTGTATATATGTATATATGTGTATATATGTATATATATGTATATATGTGTATATATATGTATATATATATAAGATCATACAGTGTGATATTTTGAGATTGGCTTTTTAAATTCTGCATAATTCTCTGAAGATTCATCCAAGTTGTGTGTATCAATAGTTCATTCCTTTTTATTGTTGAGTAGTATTCTCTGGTATGGATGTATTTTGGTTTGTTTAACCATTAACCTACTGAAGGACATCTGGGCTATTTCCAGTGTTTGGCTTTTATAAATAAGGCTGCTGTGTTGGGTCATTCGGTAATTGCATGTTTAGTTAAGAAAGTGACAAACTGTTTTCCAGAGTAGTTGTACCATTTCACATTCCCACCAGCAATGTACGAGTGATCCAGTTTCTCCATATCCTCACCAGCATTTGGCATTGTCATTATTTTATTTTATTTTTAGCTTTTCTAACAGGTGTGCAGTGATGTCTCATTGTGGTTTAACTTACATTTCCTAATGGCTAGTGAGAAGCCCTAGTGGTTAACTGCTACAGTTGCTAATCAAAGGTCGGCAGTTCGAATCCACTAGCCGCTCCTTGGAAACCCTATGGGGGCAGTTCTACTCTGTACTATAGGGTCAATATAGAGTTGCTATGAGTTGGAATCGACTCGACGGCAACGGGTTGGGTTGGTTTGGCTAATGGCTAGTGATGTTGAACATTTTCATGCACTTATTTGTCATCTGCACATCCTCTTTAGTGAAATGTCTCTTTATGTCTGAATTGTTTAACTGTTGGATTTTGAAAGTTCTTTATATATTTTAGAAACTAGTCCTTTGTTGGATACATGGTTTGCAAATATTCTCTCTCAGTCTGCAAACTGTCTTTTCATCATCTTTACAGAGTTTTTCACAGAGCAAACGTTTTAAATTTTGATGAAGTCCAATTTATCAATTTTCTTTTTATAGATTATGATTCTGAACTTTTTGCCTAGCCCGAGATCCTGAAGATTTTCTCCTATATTTTTTCTAAAAGTTTATATAGTTTTGCATTTTACATTTAAGTCTGTGATTAATTTTGAGTTAATTTGTGTCGAAGGTGTGAGGATTAGGTTAGGGTTCACTGTCTTACTATGCGTGTCTAATTGCTCCAGCACTTTGCTGAAGAGGGATTTGACTTGTTTTCAAAAACTGAATTTAAAAACTTGAACCTCATCAAGGCTTTAGATCCAACTACCAATGTATAAGAAATAGAGAGGACAGAGGAAGATACTGAACCACACGGCAGGACACAATAAGCAAGATCCAGTCTGTGGGAAACTTGATAGGACAAATGACCTTGCATTTTCAAACAAATTGCAAGGGGCTGTGTGTGTGTGTGTGTGTGTGTGTGTGTGTGTATAAAGAGAGAGATAGATATAGACATAGATAGATTCAGAGTTTAATTGATTACAAGATTGAGATTTGCTTTAAAATAATACAGTGGAGGGAACTACAGGGTGTGGCTGAGACAGAACTGATAATGGGTTGATGGTTATTGTGGCTAAAGGATGGGTACATACCAAAAACAAACAAATGAACAAACAAACCCATTGCTGTCGAGTCTTTTCCAACTCATAATGACCCTCTAGGACAGAGTAGAACTGCCCTATAGGGTTTCCAAGGATTGGATTCGAACTGCCGACCTTTGGGTTAGCAGCCGAGTTCTTAACCACTGTGTCACTAGAGTTCCAATGGGTACCTGGGGGTTCATTATTCTATTGTGAATATTTGTGAATATTCTATTGTGTATGTTTAAAATTTTACATAATAAGAGCTTTTAAAATGAATTTATTGGGTACATTTTATAAAAGGGCAACTAGTGATCAGAAATTCTATTTGGTTCTAAAGTAAATACACTTACTCTTCACTTATGGACTATCTCATTATCTGACATTTTACATTTATGACAATAGTAAAAAATCTACTATTTGACTATTTTGCGCATTAAGAACATACATCTGGCAGTAATTAATGCTGAGGTGCAAAGCGACAGTAATACTGGTTGTGATGGTTAAGGTTATGTGCCAACTTGGCTGGGCCATGGTTCTCAGTGGTTTGGCAGTTATGTAATGATGTCATCATCTTCCATTTTGTGATTGATGTGGTCATCCTCCATTTTCACATGATGCTTTTTGCATAAAGACCTGATCTTTGGAATCATTGATAAATGAGGGGTGGATGTAATCACTTCTTTGCCCTGCCAGAACACAAAGTGGTGTGGTCTGGAGGAAACATGCCAAATGTGGCTCATGTCATTCAAAATAAATTTCAATGTACCCTAAGATTTGTTTATATTCACCATATCCCCACTCCATCTCAGTCCCACGCTCCCAAGAAGGAAGAGATTTATTTTGTTGAAGCCTTGGTGCAATAAAGGTCTTAAAAACAGAATAAGCAAAAGGCTGAATTTTGAGAACTTTGTACAGAAATAACCACATCACGCTTGGTAAAGTAGAGGGTAAGCGAAAAAGAGGAAGACCCTCAACAAGATGGATTGACACAGTGGCTGCAACAATGGGCTCAAGCATAACAATGATTGTGAGGATGGCACAAGACTGTCCTGTTGTACATAGGGTCACTATGCGTTGGAATCAAGTCAATGGTACCTAACAACAACAACATCTTACCCAACTGAAAAACTGAGCAATGAACTATAATCACATGCAAATATATTGCTTATATGGGCAGCTCTTGCCTTCTCCAGCCCTGCTTACCTCCAGCTGCTGCTACTTCCAGCTACATGTTCAGTCCCAACTAGTTTCTGAGCCACCCTAGATCCAGGACACAACCCCAGACTTGTGGTTCCTAACCCCACATCCTGCTCTCCTTGGCATTATCCCACTTTATGGGAGGAGTCTACTCTGGGACCTGCCTCCACCTACTATCCTTACACCATCATTACAAAACATTCTTCAGGCCATGGTTTCAGCCTCCTGTCCCCTGCCATGGCAGCAGAGATGGGAGGGAGGGGTCTCACCAGCATCAGGAAATGCTTGGACATCTCTCGGACAATTGTCCTTTCAACACTGAGGTTCACTAGCAAAAGGAAAGAGTGGAGAAGGGACCTAACCTAGTCCATCTGCCACCAGCACTATCTTCATGTTTGGGGTGGGTCATGGACTGCCATGTGTGTCTCAGCCTCCCATTTGAGCCTCTCTTTCCATTTCCTGGTTAGTCATCCAGATACCTACGGGGGACTGAAGGCTTGTGTTGAATGTCAGACTTCTTGGCACTTCTCAGCTCTATGTCCTCCATATTTCCACTTGTTATCTATGGATGGCTCCCTCAGCGCTATGATTCTTTCAGTCCCTGGGCACTCCTCTTGCTGAGCCCCATCCACTAGATGGGATCTTTTTAGAAACTAACACAAGCCCAAGTCAAGCAGGAGCTGACCAGACTTTCCTGGACATTGACTGTGTATCTATCTTCCTCTACCCAGTAAGCTAACCTATATTTTTAGATTTCACTCTTCATTTTAAGCACATATTTATGACATTTCGCTTTATTAAAAAACAAAATTAACAAAACAGAAGATATCCAGGCTTTCTCTGCTTCATAACCCAGCCTTCAAATCCATCTCATATCCTGCTCCTTCACAAAGCCTTTATTACCAATGACAGAGTGCCAGGAGCTGACTCTTTTCTAATGGCCCAGGCATTGTTTCTGACCTAATGTTAATATTAGATCATAAACTGCCTTAAATTGTCCTTTAGTGGTTTAACGTATGTTCTCCTGATTCCAGGGATTTGAATATAAGTTCCTCAAGTGCTAGAATGTATTCTCTTCTTTTTTTTTGGGGGGGGGTGTCCTTTACAGAAGTCAAATCAGTGTTAGTATAGAGTAAAACCAGTTGCAGTTGAGTCAACTCTGCCTCATGACTGTGTCAGAGCAGAACTGTGCTCTATAGGATTTTCAATGGCTGATTATTTTTGGAAGTAGATCGCCAAGTCTTTCTTCTGAGGTGTCTTTGGGTGGACTCGAATCACCAACCTTCTGTTTAGCAGCCAAGTTCATTAACTGTTTGCAACAGTTAGGGACACCCTAGGCACACAGTAGTTGCTTAAAGACCACTTGTTGAATTAACCCTAAACCGACACTACTGAGGGGTACTATCTCCACATCAGGAGTGTGTTGATAAAAAACCCCACACCTTACCAAGAGCAGCTACAGCAGCAGCACCAGCAGAAGCAGCAGGCATTTGATCCACGATTTCCTCCTACGTGCTGGCCTGGGGCAGCGCCTGGTGTCTCCTGGGCTGCAGACATCTGCCGTTTTCTCATCTCCATCTGTTTGGATCCCATAGGCTGCAGCAGGGAACGTAAGAAGGGAGGGGGCAGAGTTAACAGGCCATCAGCCCAGGGATGCAGCTGTTGGAGTCACTAAGAAAATGCAACGCTGACCATATCCAGGTCATTTCTGCTAATTCTGGTAAAATTAGGTGCTGAGAAGCTTAGAATCCAGGAATTTATCAAACATTTACTTCGTGCCTAGTGTCTGCCAAGCATTGTGATTCATTCTAAGAGTAAAACGACAAATGCAAAAGTCCCTGCCCTTAAAGAGCTCACAGTTCAGTAAAGGAGACAGACAAGTAAACACATAAATCCAAGACATTTCAGTAAGTGCGACACTAGGGGCATTTCCAGGTTGAGCCCTCCGGAACCAAACCACAGAGGAGCAGTTACAGGTGACAGCTTAATTGCGGCTGCCCCTGAGGCCAGCATACTGGTAGGAAGGGCATCAAGCTAAAAGTTAGCCACACTAACACAGCCGTGATGGAAACGTCAGAAGAGGGGACTGTGTTCCCGGAGGCCCGGCAGACGCAATTCAAATCTTTACTAGCTGTGTTATCTCTAAGTTACCTAGTTTGGGATTAATGACCCCAAACATGCAAAGCACTTAGGAGCTCCCAGGTGCACAATAACTGCTCAGTTATTCCCAGGGAGAGAGGCAGGATGCCAGGCGGGGACTGTGGGCAGCCCCAGACCTGTCCTGCTGTCTTACGGAACTTCACTCTAGCTCCCTGGGTAAGGAAACAAATGCTTTATGTCTCTCAGTCCGCTCTCTCTCTTTTTTTAATTGTGCTTTAGATGAAGGTTTACAGAGCAAATTAGTTTCTCATTAAACAATTAATACACATACTGTTTTGTGACATTGGTTGTCAACCCCACGACATGTCAACACTCTTTCTTGACCTTGGGTTCCTCTCCTTTTTTTTGAGGACCACAAAAATAGTTGAAGGAGAGAAGCATAAATGCATCATAAGAAACCAGAAATTGCGCAGCCCATTTTTACTTTGGATACAACCAGTGAATTATTGATGGGTTAAAAGTTGATATACAAGAAACTAAAGAACCTTAAAGAGGACTTTGGAATTAAATTCTAGATTTATTGTTCTAGTCCAACATTGTATTTGTCTATTGTTATTATCTATTCTTATATGCTATTGGACTTGGTTTTAAATTATTATAGTTTTATTATTATTTTTTTAATATTTGTAGGTCAAGCGCTCTAAAACAACTTTTGGGGGGCTGTTCTTGACCATTTTTTCTTCCAGTTGAATTGTGGAATCAGCTTGGCAACGTCCCAAAATATCATGTTGCAATATTTTTTTTCTCGTGTTGGGATTTTTGTCAGGACTGATTTATAGATTTATTTTGAGAGAAATGACACCTGTCTTAGTACCGGCCAAAATTAGGCAGACGTGTCTCTAACCCTACATAATACAGCTCCTGGGGCAGAAGCTTTGGGCTCTCAGTCGCCTCTGGGTATCAGTCTCTTGCCTCATCTGTGGCACTTCTTTCTTTATTTATTATACCTTAGATGCAGGTTTACAGAGCAAATTATTTTCTCATTAAACAATTAATACACATATCGTTTTGTGACGTTGGTTGCCACCCCCATGGCATCTCAACACTCTCCCCTTCTCGACTTTAGGTTTCCCATTACCAGCTTTCCTGTCTCCTCTTGCCTTCTTGTCCTTGCCCCTGGGCTGGTGTGCCCATTTAGTCTCATTTTGTTTTATGGAGCTGTCTAATCTTTGGCTGAAGGGTGAACCACAGGAGTGACTTCATTAGTGAGCTATAAGGGTGTCCAGGTGCCATAGTCTCAGGGTTTCTCCAGTCTCTGTCAGACCAGTAAGTCTGGTCTTTTTTTGTGAGTTAGAATTTTGATCTACATTTTACTCCAGCTCTGTCCATAACCTTCTATTGTGATCCCTGTCAGAGCAGTCAGTGGTAATAGCCAGGCACCATCTAGTTGTGCTGGACTGAGTTTGGTGGAGGCTATGGTAGCTGTGGTCTATTAGTCCTTTGGACTAATCTTTCCCTTGTGTCTTTGGTTTTCTTTCTTCTGTGGCATTTCAATGAATACAGAGACCAGGAATGGTTTTACTCCATTCAGGACATGAGAGGCAATGACAATCCAGCAGTCTTTAAGCAAAGATGCTCTAGGAAACTTTTATTTTCTAAGATATATTGATGCATCTTGCCTCATTTAAAAAAAAAACAAAAACAGAACCTAATCGCTTCCTAAAAGAAGGAAAGACTATTACATGGCATTGTCAAAGGGTTTCAAGGGACTCGTATTTCAACAACTTTACAACGTCAAATCTTCCCAAATAGTACATGAAATATCTATTTATTTAATTCCTCTCATGTACAGTTTAAGAGTTTTCTTCAAACAGGTCTTTACATTTTTGATAGTTTTATTCCAGGAGTCCCTCTGTAGTGTGAACGGTTAAGCTTTGGGTTACTAACCAAAAAGTTGGCAGTTTGAATCTACCCAGAGGCACTTGGGAAGAAAGGCCGGACGATATACTGAAAAATCAGCCATTGAAATCCCTATGGAGTGCAGTTCTACTCTACAACAGAGTCGCCGTGAGTTGGAATTGACTGGATGACAATTGATTTGGTTTTTTGTTTTTTTCTGGATATTTTGTAGAGCGATGTTTGCTGCTGTTGTAAATGACATCTTTCCCCCCTTACTTTCTAAATGGCTATTTAGGGAAGTAGAAAGCCTCAGGATACTATATCTGGCCACTCTATTGAATTCTCTTATGAGTTCTAGCAAACTTTCTGTTCGTTCTCTTAGATTGTCTACTTAGACCATCATACTGTCTGTAAATAATCACACTTGTCTCTTTTCTTCCTGAACCTTCCCAAGGTACAAATATCTTTGCTTCCCTGGTTTTCTTTCATTGGCAGGAAGTTCAATAAATAATGAAAAGTAGCAATAATATTAGGCACCTTTGTTTTCTTCATGACTTTACTGAGAAGACTGATAATACTCTGCCATTAAGTATGATGAGTGTTGGAGATTTCTGGGAGAAGGTAACTTCACCAATTTAAGGAGGTTTTCTTTAACTACTTATACAGTATAAAATAAGTTGTATTAGTCTATCTTATTCGTTAGTATGTTTTATTTATTTATGCACCTATTTCTTTGTAAATACATAGAAGAATCTTAATGATCTAGAGAGCAAACCCATGACTAAATACAGCCTTCAGAAGTCAAAGCAAATTCTATCAAAGTCTGCCCTTATACTTTTTTAAAAACAGCTTTATTGAGGCATAGTTAACATACACTAAGTTTTGACATGTCTATAAGTAGAAATTCACTCAATGGTATACAACATACCCGTGAAACCATCACCACTAACAAGATAGTGAACACATCTACCACCCCCAAAAGTTTCCTCTGCCCCTTTGGAATCTCTCCGTACCCCCTCCCTCCTACTACTCCTTGCCCCACACAGTCACTGATCTGCTTTCTGTCACTATAATTAATTTTTCATTTTCTAGAATTTTATGTAAATTTTATATAAATGGAATATGTACTCTTTTTTTTCCAGCTTCCTTTGTTCAACATTAATTATTTTGAGATTGTTGCATGTATCAATAGTCCATTCCTTTTTATTGCTGAATAGTATTCCACTGTATGGATATACCACAATTTGTTTATCCATTCACCTGTTGATGGACTTATACGTGTTTGATGGATGCTGATAAGACAGTGTCTTCTTTTTAATATGGAAGTCTTTATCAGGTAAAATCAGATTTTAAAACTTCTATTGAGATGATCAAAAGAATTTTCTCCTTTAAGCAGTTAATGAAATGAATTACATTAATGAATTTCTTAACATTTAACCACCCTTACTAAGGTAACCTATGGCTTTTCTTCTATTACTATGATGAATTTGATTTAGTAATATTTTATTAGGATATCTGCATATCTATCTATCTATATCTTCATAAGGGAATTATTTTTCCTTGAAGATTTGGTAGAACCTGCCCATGAGATTACTGGAAGCTTTTAGGAATGGCTTGTTGACTATGTTTTCAATTTCATCTTTGGTTTTGTTTTGTTTTATAGTTTCTTCCTTTTTTGAGTCAATACGGTACTTGTCATTTCCTGAAAAAAAAAAAAAAAACCCATTTCATCTAGTTTTCAAATTTACAGGAACCTATTATTTTAGTCATCTTAGAATTAGTAGAGCAAGACATTTTAAATTAGTGCATGCTTATTTAAAAGACAAATATGTAGTTGCTTAGAGGAGAGTTGCATACTTAGTGTCCCAGGCATATTGTAGAGAGTAAATACATTTTTATGCAGTAGCTAATTAGTATGAAGTCTAACACCAGATATTAAATGAATGTTGTTTGCTACCTATTCAGGAGATTTAAAAGTATGTCCTTGGTGTATATGTGAATACAGCCAGTCCTTTCAGACGTGGATATGTGATCTGATTAGCTCCAGTAGCTTCATATATCTTCCCTTTGCTGTCATTCTATCTGTGGGTGAATGCTGTACACATTTCATTTTCAACTGTTCTTTCTAAATAACAGAATCAGTGCTCCTTGGGCATTGCTTCCTATTTCATTTTTAGGGTATATGTACACGCATTGTCTCTGGCAGGCACTACTGGGCATCACTTCCTTGTCTGTGGGGGGGTAACTCAGACATGTCACCTGCATGATCTCCCAGTAACTGGCTGCCTTCACTTGAGGATCCTGAGGCTCAGAGGGTTGGTGAATGTAAAATCAGTGTCAGTGATCTCAGATGCTTTATTCTGTAATTTATGGCATTTCAAAAGCAGCCTGAGGAAATGAGAATAAAACAGGCTGGCAGCTTTTTAAAGATTTCAGATCTTAACCAAGAGATAATCCTACTCAAATGTGGCCTTTCCAAATCCCTAGAAACCCGTTATTTAAGAGGACTCCTTTTCAAAATTCAACTAAAAGCCAAACATACTCTTAATATTGATCACAATCTTAATCTTGATCACAGACTTTTAGTAAGTTGAACT